AGCCTCACCCTCTTTCCAGGATGCACTTGCATTCATTGAAAGCTGGGTGAGGAGAAAGCAGGCAAAAACCTCTTTGATCTTGCCCACAGCAACTTCTTACTCAACACGTCTCCAGAGGCAAAATCCCTCTGGGGAATTTGAATGAATTCAAATGAATTACTGGGACCTCATCAAAATAAAAAGCTTCTGCACAGCGAAGGAAACAATCAGCAAAACTAAAAGGCCACCAATGGAATGGGAGAACATATTTGTAAATGACATATCAGATAAACAGTATTCAAAATCTACAAAGAACTTATCAAACTCAACACCAAAAAAACAAATAATCCAGTGAAGAAATGGGCAAAAGACATGAATAGACACTTGTCCAAAGAAGACGTCCAGATGGCCAACCGACACATGAAAAAATGCTCAACATCACTCATCATCAGGGAAATACAAATCAAAACCACAATGGGATACCACCTTACACCTGTCAGAATGGCTAACATTAACAACTCAGGCAACAACAGATGTTGGTGAGGATGCGGAGAAAGAGGATCTCTTTTGCATTGTTGGTGGGAATGCAAGCTGGTGCAGCCACTCTGGAAAACAGTATGAAGGTTCCTCAAAAAAACTAAAAATAGAATTACCCTGTGACCCAGCAATTGCACTACTAGGCATTTATCCAAGGGATACAAGTGTGCTGTTTCGAAGGGACACATGCCCCCCCCCCCGTGTTTATAGCAGCACTATCAACAATAGCCAAAGTATGGAAAGAGCCCAAATGTCCATCGATGGATGAATGGATAAAGCAAATGTGGCATATATATACAATACAGTATTACTCGGCAATCAAAAAGAATGAAACCTTGCCATTTGCAACTACGTGGATGGAACTGGAGGGTATTATGCTAAGTGAAATTAGTCAGTGAGAGAAAGACAAAAATCATATGACTTCACTCATATGAGGACTTTAAGAGACAAAACAGATGAACATAAGAGAAGGGAAACAAAAATAATATAAAAACAGGGAGGGGGACAAAACAGAAGAGACTCACAAATATGGAGAACAAACTGAGGGTTACTGGAGGGGTTGTGGGAGGGGGGGTGGGCTAAATGGGTAAGGGGCACTAAGGAATCTACTCCTGAAATCATTGTTGCACTATATGCTAACTAATTTGGATATAAATTTAATAAAATAAATAAATAGATAGATAGATAGAAAATAGAACATTGAAGACACACACACTCACACACAAACTAAGGGAAATAAAATACAGGCCTACCTTATTTTATTGCACTTCACTTTATTGCACTTTGCAGATACTGCATTTTTTTACAAATTGAAGGGTTGTGGCAACCCTGTGTTGAGCAAGTCTGTCAGCACCATTTTTTTAATTGAAGTATAATTGACACACAATGTTACATTAGTTTCAGGTGTACATCATAGTGATTCCACAAATCTATACATTGTACCATGCTTGACCACAAGTCAAAGCTACCATTTATCACATCAGCAACATTTTTCCAACAACTTTCTGTCTCTGTGTCACATTTTGGTAATTCTCATAAAATTTTTCTTATTTTCACAAACCTTTTTTTTTGAACCACTGCACTCTCAAGGTAAATCTTTAATGAACAAGGAGTTGCTTCTTATAGATGAGCACAGCAAGTGGTTTATTTTTTATTTTTTATTTTTTAATGTTTATTTGAGAGAGAGCACAAGCGATGGAGAGGCAGGAAGAGAGGAGGACAGAGAATCTGAAGCCAGCTCTGTGCTAACAGAGAGCCTGAGGCAGGATTCAAACTCACAAACCATGAGATCATGACCTGAGCTGAAGTTGGGCGCTTAACCAGCTGAGCCACCCAGGTGCCCCTCAAGTGTTTTCTTGAGATAGAATCTACTGTGAAGATTACTGGGGCACCTGGGTGGCTTAGTCAGTTAAGCATCCGACTTCAGCTCAGGTCATTATCTCACAGCTCATGAATTCGAGCCCCGCGTAGGGCTCTGTGCTAACAGCTCAGAGCCTGGAGCCTGCTTCAGATTCTGTGTCTCTGTCTCTCTCTGCCCCTCTCCCCCTCACTTTCTGTCTCTGTCTCTGTCTCTGGAAAATGAATAACCCTTAAAAAATTTTTTTAAAAAAGAATCTACTGTGAAGATTATTAAAATGACAACAAAGGATTTAGGATATTACATAATTCTAGTTGATAAATCAGTGTCAGCATTCAGAGAATTGATTCCAGTTTTGAAAGAATCTCTACTGTGGTAAAATGTTATCAAACAGCATCACATGCTACAGAAAAATTGTTCATCAAAGGAGGAATTAATCACAGCAAACTTCATCATTGTCTTATTTTAAGAAATTGTCACAGCCACCCCAGCTCTCAGCAATGACCACCCTAATCAGTCAGCAGCCATCAACATTGAGACAAGACCCTCTACCAGCAAAAAGATTACAACTCACCAAAAGCTCAGGTGATGGTTAGCATTTTTTAGCCATAAAGTATTTTTTAATTAATGTATATGAATTTTTTAAGGCATGTTGTCACATACTTAATAGACTATAGCATAGGGTAAATATAACTTTTATGTGCACTGGGAAACAAAAAAAAAAGTATTTGACTTGCTTTACTCTGTAATATTTGCTTTATTGAAGTGGTCTAGAACCAAACCCCCAGTATCTTCTTGTATTCCACCACTCCCCTGGCTATATAATTGAGCTAATCTTGTCTGCCTAGCTTCCTATTCCCTTAGAATGAGTCTTTCCCAAAAAATCCTTGGCTCCTCCTAAAGGGCCCACCCCATTCATCCCTCAGTGCATGTCCAGATTTTTCAGTAGTGCATGAAACTAAGTTCAAACTGAACCTACAGAACAGAGATTAGAATTTAATCACAAATAGGAGTTACATGTGTTTTTGCAGGTTTGTTAATGTCAGCAGGGGAGAATAAAAACCAAACAATCACAGATCATTTGTTACTTGTCTCATAGAATTTATTTTACTTAATTGGACTTTAGCCATTTTCTATTACCTGTCCACCCAGGGATGTTGTAGGAAGTAATAAAATGAAATGTGATATTGCAAAAGCATGCGGATGCTGTTAGGGCACCATTTTCTGCTTTACATAATGTCTCATACATTCTTTATGAAATTATTTTACATTATGAATTTTACCGCTAATCATATTTTCCTCCTTCCTTTGGTCACCCAGTTTAGAGTCACATCTGCAACCCACCTGGTAGTGGCTTGAATTGTGTTCCCTCCAAAAAAATACGTTTGAGTCTCAACATCTGGCTCCTGTGAATGGGGCATTATTTGGAAATAGCGTCTTTATTTTTTTTATTAAAATTCTTTTATGTTTATTTATTTTTGGGAGAGAGGCAGAGGCAAGTGAGTTAGGGGCAGGGGGGGGTGGGCACAAGAATCTGAAGCCGGCTCCAGGTTCTGAGCTGTCAGCACAGAGCCCGTCATGGGGCTTGAACCCAGAAACCGTGAGATCATGACCTGAGCCAAAGTCGGACGCTCAACTGACTGAGCCACCCAGGCACCCCTTAATTTTTTTTTTTAACATTTATTCATTTTTGAGAGACAGAGTGTGAGTGGGTGAGGGGCAGAGAGTGAGAGGGAGACACAGAATCTGAAGCAGGCTCCACATTCTGAGCTGTCAGCACAGAACCTGATGCAGGGCTTGAACTCACAAACCACAAGATCATGACCTGAGCCAAAGTCAGACTCTTAACTGACTGAGCCCCCCAGGCACCCCTGGAAATAGGGTCTTTGCAGATGTAATTAAGTTAAGATGAAGTCATACTGGATTTGAACTGACCTTAGATCCAATGACTGGTATACTTAAAATAGGACAGGGGCACCTGGGTGGCTCAGTCGTTTGAGCATCTAACTCCAGCTCAGGTCATAAGCTCGCAGTTCATGAGTTTGAGCCCCACGTCGGGCTCTGTGCTAACAGCTCAGAGCCTGGAGCCTGCTTGAGGTTCTGTGCCTCTTCTCTCTCTCTGCCCCTCTCCTCCTGCCCCTCTCTCTCACTCTAAAAAATAAATAAACATTTAAAAAAGGAAAGAAAGAAAGAAAATAGGACACAGAGATTCAGAGGAGACACTCAGGGACTAAAGTCATGTGAGGATGGATGCAGAGATTGATAAAATGCTGCTACAAACCAACGTATGCCAAGGATTTCTGGGAGCCATTAGAAGCTAGGAAGAGGCAAGGAAGAACTCTTCCTTAAAGTCATCTTAAGGAGCATATGCCTGTTGACACCTTGATTTCAGACTTTTATCTCGAGAACTTTGAGAAAATAAAGTTCTGCTATTTAAAGCCACCCAATCTGTGGTAATTTGTCATGACAGAGCTAGAAAACTAATATATAACTCTTAAAACTTCATAGAACCATCTGATTGGTATTTCTCTAACCTAATCTAACCCCTTTTATTTCTGTTGTCTCAGTTTTCTTGGTTATTTATTTGTGTCTTCTGTAGAGCTGCCTCTTATTTTCCCCTCTCTTCTTCCTCCCTTGCCCTTTTTATCCTCTCCCCTTTTTTTCCAACTTCACTTCTGCTCCTTTATTCTCTTTTCTTCCTTTCTCCTAATACTTTTTTCAGTGGGCTATCCTATTTTTCCATTCTGATTAAAATCTACGTTCTGGTTTTCTTGACTATAGTTCCTCTTCTCTATAGAAAGAATATACTTCCCCACGCTGTTAATCTCAGGTGTGGCCACATGACCTGCTTTGGTCAATGAGATGTAGTCAGAAGTGATATGTATCATACTCAGGCAAAAGCTTTAAAACTAAGCGTAGTTTGCCATATTTCTTTTTCTTCGTCAAAGGGAACTGATTGATCAGCCTGGATCCCAGAATGAAGGCAATGTATAACGCAATTCCAATAGACCTACGGTAAACATGTAGCATGAATGAAAAATAAACCTTTGTTGCAAGTCCCTGATGTTTTGGGGATATTTGTTATTGCGGCTCAACCTATCCTGATAGATACTATTTTTTTTTTAAGATTTCATTTTTAGGTAATCTCTACAAACAACATGGGGCTCGAACTCACAACCCCAAGATCAACAGTCGCATGCTCCACCAACTAAGCCAGTCAAGTGCCTGCTAGATACAGTATGTTATGTTTGTTCGATCCTCTTCTACCTAACCTTAAATGGGTCAAATCTTCCAGAGCTCCCTTTTACCTAATGAATAAAAGCCAAACTGCTTAGACTGACATAAAATTCACCTCACCCTAGCCAGTCTTTCTCCTTTTATTTTTATTCCTTTTGCTTTGAAAGTTATTATGAGAAAAATAGCAGTTAATCACATTAACTGCATTATATTTAGCAAAATACTATGCATATTTTGCTATTCTCTTGCTTATTGTTTCCGTAAGTCATGCCTCTGCTGAAGGCCAGATAGAGAGTATGACTAAGCCCATAGAAGAGCCAGGCTGGGAAAGGATGGCTAACGTCCTGCAAAAACCCATGGTCAGAAATTGACCCAATAGGTTGATGACCAAGACAGCTGAGAGATCTGAAATGGTTCAGGGCCAGGATATGATGGTAGTGCTGGGAGGTAGGGGAATGTCACAAGAAGTCAGTAGCTAAGCCAGAACTGAGAAATGAGTATGGGTCCCAGAAGTAAAACCTTAGGGAATTAAATATAAAGGTATGAAAGATAACGGGGTGTTAATGGACTGAATTGTGTCTTCCCCAAAATTTACATGTTGAAGCCCTAATCCCTAATGTGATTGAATTTGGAGATAGAGCCTTTAAAGAGGTAATTCAGGTAAATGAGGTTTTAAAGATGGAGCTCTAATCTAATATGACTGGTATCCTTTTAAATATTATTTATTTATTTGGGAGAGGGGGTTGCAGAGAGGGAGAGAGAGAATCCCAAGCTGTCAATGTGGAGCCTGATATGGGGCTCAATCCCATGAATTGTGAGACCATGACCTGAGCCAAAATCAAGAGTCCTTAACCAACTGAGCCACCCAGGAGCCCCTGGTGTCCTTTTTTTTTTAATTTGTTTAATGTTTATTATTTGAGAGAGACAGAGAGAGAGAGACAGAGAGCAAGCAGAAAAGGGGCAGAGAGAGAGGGAGACACAGAATCGGAAGCAGGCTCCAGGCTCTGAAGTGCCAGCAAAGAGCCCTACGCAGGCCTCGAACCCACAGACCGTGAGATCATGACCTGAGCTGAAGTCGGACACTTAACCAATTGAGCCACCCAGGCGCCCCCTTGATGTCCTTTTAAAAAAAGGAAGAGTCACCAGGATTGTGTGAGCATAAAGAAAAATCCATGTGAGGACACCAATGAGAAGATAGCCATCAATAAGCCAAAGAGAGAAGCCTCAGAAGAAACCACCCCAGTGAGCACCTTGATCCTGGACTTGCAGCCTCCAGAACTGTGAGAAAATAAATTTTTGTTAGGCAAGTAAGCCACCCAGTCTGTGCCATTTTGTTACGATAGCCTTAGCAAACTAATACATGGAAGGAGGAAAGTCCTACAGGCCAGGTCCTGGACAAAATAATTATTGAAACTCTGCTTTCACTGCACTTCCTACCTTCATCCATACTCACTTCCTACCTGGAGCTCTCCACTACTCCACAGGAATCATGCTCCTTTCTGACAATGAATGCATGTCCTGTGTCTTAGACTGCTAATAGTCAGGAACTGTATTTCTCTCACATCACCCAGAAACCAGAAAAGCTTATTCAGTGCTTAAGGATTGATTAATGTGTTCTCTGTTTACCTAAATCAGAGGTTCTTAAGTTCATGGAACCCCTGGGGGGGGTGGGTAATTCATAAATGTATTTTAGGAGCTTGCCCACAGCTTTTGTCAGATTCTCAAAAGGAATCTTAGCACTTAGCACTTAGTTAAAAAAAAAAAAAATTTGATGTTGGCTTTTGTGAGACCCTTTTGACCAATGCTGATGTTATATGGATCAGTTCATATGTAGTAATTGATATGCTCTTTATTTGTCAAAGTTCTCCAATCACATTTAGGCACTGGGTAAGTTTCTCTGGCTTTTGTTTGTTTTGTTTTGTTTTGTTTTGTTTTGTTTTGTTTTGTTTTGTTTTGTTTTGTTTGAGGGGGGTGGGGCAGAGAGAGAGGGAGACAGAGAATCCCAAGCAGGCTCCACACTGTCAGCGCAGAGCTCTATGTCAGCACAGAGCCCGAACTCACAAACTCCGAGACCATGATGTGAGCCGAAATCAAGACTCGGATGCTTAATGGACTGAGCCACCCAAGTACCCCAAGATGCTGGGTGAGTTTCTAAATCCGATCTACAGCTCCATCTGTTAGGTGGATATTATAGGTTTATTGTCTTCAGCTTCATGCACTGTAAACTATTTTAGAAATGACAGCCTTAGAAACAATAAGAGTTTGGATATCTGCCCATGAACATTCCTAAAATAAAGCCATACTTAAAAGACATTGTAAATTCAAAGTTTTTTTTATTAAAAAAAATAATACTCTGTTATCTAGTTATAAGAAACACAGTCAAAATTCTCAAGATTTGCCACCTACAAATGAACTCTGTAGCTATATATTTACACTTAAGAGATAAATTGCATATTTTCATTTAAGAGATCTAGTTTGCATTAAGCAAATTATTTTTATGTTCATATAGATTCCTTAAGAAATTTCACTTCGATCATTTCATAGAAATGTAAAATATCAATTTTAGTATTAGAAAAAAGTATTTTTGTTGAGCAAATTTTTTTCCATTGTCCTCTAGCTCAAACTTTCCCTACATTCTCAGTGAATTGATGTAATTACCTGAAATCAATCTCATAAAGCTATCTCAAATAAATAGGGAATGTGGTTAGAATAAAAAGTCAATATTTGGGTTCCAGAGAAAATTTCCATAGCCAAACCAGGGAAAATCTTCAGAAATGCTTATCCTACATACCCTGCAATAGTACCTCATCCCCGTGGCCCTCGGGAACTGTTGGAAAAATGGTGCCTCTGTCTCCTCCACCTCTCAGACCCAGATGTGCACAGAGGCAGAGAAGCAAAGTTGAACACAGACCACTCCTTTGATCCTGCCTCTGAGGAGACTGCTTACACCCTAGACCTTGGCTAAGGAAAAACATCCCATTGTCTGAGGCAAAAGGACATCACGTCATTTCATCCTGTGCCTGCAAAGGCCGTTAGGAACAAGTAATCCTGATGGTAGAGTCGTGAGACACTTCCCAGCTGCGCTGTGACTTGTTTTCGGTTCCTAGGCAAATTGCCCAGTTTCCTCTGCTTCCAAATTTCCCCAACTGCAAAACAGAGATAATTATTGTTACCTTTCTTTTGTGGTGTTCTGACAAATAAATAGGGCAAATGTTCCTAAAGTGGCTAGAGACAGTTGTCTGAGGACATATTTGCCTACAACTGTAGGTGGGGTGTTTGTTTAGTTTTGTTGTCATTGTTTTGCTTTTGGCCTGACTTTGGCATAAATGTAGAAAATATAAATTAAATTATAACCATTCATTTGAAGTTAATGGAGCATTTACAGTCTGCAAAGCACTGTGCCAGGAAGAAGGAGCACATCTCTACCCTCAAGGAACTCACAGCTCACTCAGAAGGAGGTATTATAGCCTGTAGTTTGAGTAACACAAGCATAGCAGTTGGCCAAGGTAGCTGGGTTGGAATCCCACTCTTTACCTTTACGAGCTGGAGACTCTGGAAAAATCACTCAGCTGCTAAGCCTAGGTTTCCTCCTATAAACCACAATAGTTAACATTTGAGCATCTGCTGGGTGACAGCAGGTGTTCTGTGCATTTGTATTTACCTAAAACTCAGAACAACTGCCTGAGATAGATATTATTCTCATCCCCATATTTGTATCCCCCATCTTATAGATAAGGATACTGAAGCTTTCAGAGGTACATAATTTGTCCCAGGTCATATAGTTGGGAAGTGGTGAAGCCAGGATGTAAACTCAAGCTGTGTGGCCTCAAAACATGCAGACTTTACTACTTAATACTACACCACCCTCAAATGGGAGCATACTCACCTCATATAAACGTGTGAGACTCAACTGAAATAATGCACATAACAAACTGTTAGCACAGTGTCTGACACATAATAAATGTACAATAAATGTGAGAGTAGCAGTAGAACAGATTAGACACAAACAAACAACCAGAATGCCAAGTCAAAAATAAATGCATAACGCCAGTCTATTTCATGAGAAAGTTTCTTAACAGATCAGTCATTATATGGGGGGGGGGGGGAGCGGTTAGTAGGGAGTTGTGTGGGGAGAATAATAGTCTGTGAACCGCAAAGGTTTCTGAATCAGCATACAAGTGATCTATAATATGAATGAGTGATGCTTCATATATACATAAATCCCTGAAGGTCATTTAAAGAAAGTTTGAAGTATCTGAAGTACCCTGCTATGATTAAAATCGAGAGTATATTCGTGAGACAGTTTCCAATTAAAAAATTTAAAAATGCATCTGCTGCAATTATTCTTCTCCCCTTCCTTAACCCCCCCTCAATTTCCTTTAAGAAACAACAGTAGAGTTTCTTTTCAAAGTCTTAAAATAAAAAATCCCCAAAAAAGGGATCCTGCTTGCTTTTAGAGTTGTTTGAAAAAGGGGGAAAAAAAAAAAAGCATGAAGAGCCACGTGCTTCTCTTCTGGCCAAGTTATTAGCTTCTGAGAACAAGAGCTGGAGGGGAGGACTGTTAACCCCATAGTCTCTCTGGCAGAATGAGCTCTTTCCCTGTTGGCTTGCACTGCCTGGAAAGCTCCTCGCGCCCTCGGAGAGGCCAGCCTGCCGGAGAGCTGCAGGAATCTGCAACAAAAACGATGACAGCCTGAAATACCCCCAGTGCCAACCTCCACATTTGTCTGTCACCTCAGACCCTGACTAGTTGACAGAGCAGCAGAATTTCAACTCCAACAGACTCGAATGTGTGTCTGGGCAGAGAAGCAGAGCTAATGAGGGAAGAGATTTTTTAAAGTGTATTGGGTATTTGTCAAACTTTTATTTCTTGGCTGTGTGCAAAGAGAGGATTCAACTGCAATTCTGTATCGAGGCTCTGGGTCCAGCCACCTACCTGAAGGTAAATTTTAATAAGTTTACTGTATCATCTAATGGCATTTGTTATACTACACTGCATGATCCAATGAAGATGTCTAATATTTTTTTCCTAGGACAAAGCCATTTATTTACAAAAAAAAAAAACAAAAACAAAAAACTTTTGTGTGATTTACAGAAAAGCTACTTAGTAAGAAATTTTAACTCTTGTATTCATGTTTCCTTTTCTTCTTCAAGATTATATAGTTAGTAGTAATAAATGATGGTTTTAATGAAGACCAAGAACACAAATGTAGAACTGTTGTTGGCCAGATTAGCATTCAGATCTTGGTGAAGTCTGAATCTGGAAATGTGTTTTATAGAAATATTTTACTGAGTATATTAAGTAAATCATAAGGGAAGTAGTTTAAAAAAGAACTTTCAAATCAAAGTATCATGTATGTTTTCCATGTTTAAATTATCTGAAATTATTTCATCACCACCACTGTCCCAGTGTGTACCTACCAGCAGTATAGACATGGAACATTTTGCTTTTCCAAAAGGCAGGAAAATTGCTGCACTACCATAATCTTCTTTTATTGTTTTTTAGTTATTATGACTATTATTCCTTTCCTAATTCCCTTTTATACTTTTATGACTAGCTGTCTCTTGTCTCCCTCCATTGTTTTTTAAGGTGCACACACATAAAATTTCTCTAATTCCTGATGATGTCCTACTTGGGGAGGGAAGGAGGTAGGGAAACCAGAGAGCTGAGGAGATTATGGCAAATCCTATATCATACGGTATTATCATTCTGGCTCTACTAGAATAAAACAATAATGTACGTCATGCTCACTCATTCCTCCTAGCTATTAGAGGTCCCCCTGCAGGAGAAAACCATCCTTTCAACTGTAGATGGGTGCTGTTGATACTATAACCAAGCGGTACTGAGGAAAGACTGTCTCTTTTGCACTGCCTTTAATCTGCAAAGAGGTTAAATATGTCACCTTGGCATTGTGTCTGAGCTTTCCTCTGGCCCACTGCCTGACTGCACTGAATAGAAATGTTCACTCGATCCAACTCAGCAAAAATCTTTTTCATAAATTCTCCCCTCTCTCTTGGATACCAACTTTTTTTGAGTTCGGAGCTTATTCATCTAAACTTTGGTGGTAGTGACTATTGTTAACCATGACTGTTTAAAAAAAGGACACCCCTCTTAGGAAAGATTTAAGTTTATATTTCTATTCATTCAACCAGATCTAGCAAAGAAGAGCAATCAGTCTGTTTCATCTACTTATCATCCAATCAACTAATGCTACTTCCCAAATTTTTAAAAAGAATGCGTACATGTTATTCATGAATCTTGCCTTTTTCCTTTTATGGAATTTCTGTGCACCTATTTAGCAATTCCTGAGGTTTCTTCTCCAGATCTTTTGGGGTTCAATCCCCAGTACTTTCTCATGTGCAACTTCACTTATCAACTACATAAAAATAAATAGTGATGACAAGAATGAAATGAACAGTGATGTCTCTAGACAACTCCAGAACACTATTCATTTCATTTTCTCTTGACTATTATTTTTATTCCATTTAATAACAGTATACAAACATTTGTTTGTTTATGCTTTTTCCACCAAGAAAAACATAAACAACTGCTGTTAAAAGACTTCAGGTGCCCTTTTCCTTTACATGTCCTTCTGGAACAGCCTTCAGTGAAGGGGAAAGGGGCCCCATAAATCCAGGAGAACTTCCCCAGTAGACCTGGCTGCCCAAGAGATGCCCAGCTAAGCTGGGGTCTGGTTCACACAAGGCCCACAGGGCATCTTCTGCCAAAGGCTGAGCTTGCACTGGTAATACCACCTGGGCCTGGTTTTTGTGTTGGGCATCAAAAGGTACACAGAACTCTGGGGGACAGAATGTGCGGTCTCTAATAATTGTAGGAGATGGTGTAAGAAAGTAAGATCATGAATTCTGGAAACACACAGACGAGGCTTATACCTGGGCTTTACCAGGATCTGTGACTTTGGACAAATGAGTCTTTGAGCCTCAGTCCCCTCATCTGTGGAAATGAGGATCATAAAATTATTTGCCATTTCAGAGATTTGTTATGCTAATTAAGTCAAGAAAACTCCTATGCCTGGTGCATATGAAGCAATCAGTTAATCATAGCTAATAATGAAAACACCACCCTACCTAGGTATCCCAACTGGAACTCTGTAAAAAGGAATTTACTCTCGGTTTTCCCTCAAGGTTTCTTAGTTTACCCATCTATTAAGCAAGCAGTGATAATAATACCCACAAATGCAGTTGTTGTAGGAGTTAAATGAGATGTTTTTAAAATACCAAGTGTAGCACCTGGCACAGTGGCACAGCGTGAGAAAGTATTCAGTTATACACTCGAAATGATTTTTCTGATAACAGAATTGGGGATTGAGAAGGAAATATTCTTTGAATTGTCTTTTTTTTTTTTATCCAAAGGAATGGAAAAATAAATCTGAATCTACTGTACTCCCCTGGGGGGGGGGGGTGCTCAACATGAAGTATTTATTACTGTGAGTCTTTACTGCTTCATCAATTAGTTTCTTCTTAAGGACCAAGTCAAATGAAACCAAAGGGAGTTTTCTGTTTCAGATTGCCATTAAGAGAGTGAGATGAAATGCTGCTTTGCAGTTGATTCTGTTTTATTGGCCTAGTTGGACAGGGGAGAAGGCCCCCAACATTTCTCCTTTCTTATCTTTTCTAAAGGCAAGAATAGGGGTTTTGACTTGCTCCAGGGGTATTTTTTCCTTTCTAACTGAAATTCAAACGAAAGGGTTTGGGTTTTGTTTTTTGTTTTTGTAAACCTCTCCCCCTGTGCTCCTAGCATTGAAATGTCAGCTGCTTTTTCTGGCTACATGTAGCAGGAGCAGCCTGTCGTCATAGCGATGAAAGGGTATAGAGAGACTGAGTTTCATGACCCACTCTGTGAAATAACTCTTAGTCTGCTCTAAAATCCTTCTTTAGAAATGAAGTCTCCAGTCTTGGCCTGTTTCCTTCCTATTATGCAACCAACTATGTACACCAATTGGAGTAGCTAAATGTTTTCTTTAGAGATTCGATGAATAGGTGTTAAGAAAATGAACAAGAAAGCTACTAAAACAGTGACCAGTTTACTCTGGAGTGCGGGGGGGAGAACTACTGGGAAGGCAAAGGAAGAGAGAAATAACCTCACTTCAAAGCACATACTGCACAGCCCAGAATAAATCCATTTTCCGAGTTCCTGCCGGCTCCTCCCATCTTCACAGTGCACCACAGTACAGTGGTTATCCAGGGGGATTCTGGGGCGTCTACCAGGACTTGCATCCGGGCACTCTCTAGTGTTTTACCTTACACACTCTTTGCCTCTGTCTTCTCATCTGCAAACAGAGATAAGAATAGTCATGAAATTGTTGTGGAGATTGAATGAGATAGTGTAAGGCTCTCATTACAGTATGTGACCAGTGGTCAAGGTTAGCTGTTAGGCTTGCCAGGCCCCTATATCCCTTATTTGTTAAATGGGGGTAACAGCTAATTCATTGTCAGATTAACTGAAATGATGTGTGTAAGTGCTCAGTAAGTAGTAGTTCTTCTCATACTCTGTAATACTTTTAATAGTCTTTTAATACTTGCCATTGCTATGTCCAACTTTGATGGAAATAGCTTTTTTTTTTTAAGAGAGAGCTTGGGCAGAGAGAGGGGAGAGAGAGTGCAGGCTCTGCTTCCCGCTCAGCATGGAGCCCAATGCAGGGCTTGATCCCAAGACCCTTAGCTGAAATCAGAGTCAGCTCAACTGACTGAGCCACCCACGTGCCCCAGAGCTAGCTGTTTTGAACTTGGAATTTCCCAATGAGTAAACTGTAATGAATATAGGCATCAGAATTATCATTGTATAAATGTGAACCATTGAATTTCTAAAGAAAAATAAATAAGTGTTTTTACATTTATAAAGAAAATTCTCATCTTGATTAACAGAGTAAAAGGTTATTAAAACATCTTTTATTAAGATGCTTTGCATTAAAGCATCTTAGTGTTTTAGTCTCTCCAGTGTTTTCCAGACCATGCAATTATGTCAATAAATAATCTTATGTCTTGAACGACTCATGCATTTCAATGTTCTATACCATGAGGAATGCCAGAGATGCTGCAGGAGTGAATATAGAGAGGGCTGTGCTCTAGTGGCACTTACTGTGTAGTTAGGGAGACTGTCATTAAGTAAATCATCACATTAATAAAAAGTGCTTATGCCCAAACATAAGGTGACCTTGAATACAAAGCCATCTTTATTTTTCTAATGACAAGATTCTCAGCCAAAGTCCTTGGCCAACCTAAATGCACAAACGGGTAGTAAATTGTAATATGTACTTAGAGGATACCTAAGATCTACTCACTGAATCCACTCTGTAATTATCTAGTACAGACTAATGCATCATCAGTCCTCCGCAAGTTGTTTATAACACACTTCTTAAAAATCTGTGGATGCTGCAAATTGGATCCCTAAGCATAAATTCTCATTCTATTTATTACTTCTTTGTTTTTTCCAGCCCTCTTTCAAGGCTTATTTGAAAACACTTGAGTTTGTAAAGTGTGGTTTTCTAAAACTGCGATTTTAACACTTGCAATAATGAAGTCATACCTCACGAATAATTACTAAATCTGCTTTAAATATCTTTACCTCCTTTTTTATTGTCAAGATGACCATCTTAAGCATGACAAAAATAAGCATTGCTTGAGATCATTTCAGGCTGTTTTCCTGAAACAGTACTTTGTTGTTCAAAATGAAGTCATTGAGACAGTGGTCTTTAATGTGAGAGATCTCGGAAGCACTAAAATATAAAGCACATCCCTCTTTTTTATAGCATAATTTGGGGGATGAAAAAGTCACAGTATATTTGAATTTGTATTGTATATAATCATCTGCTGAAATAAGTGTTAAGAAGGTAAAGCACCTTTGTTCTAAGAAAGTATGTTTAAGGAGCCTGACCTCTGCCGAAGGTCACTGATGGCTGTTTTGATCTGAAGGCTAAATAGATGTTACTCTGTGGTGTCTCTGTGTGTGCTTGTGTATGCGTGTGTGTGTGTGTGTGTGTGTGTGTGGGTGTGTGTGTGTGTGTGTGTGTGTAGGTGGTGATTGGGGCAAGTGGGTGCTGGCAAGAGAATTCTAACAGTGTGACACCTTGTGCAAAGACCCTGCAGCAAGTGAGATCATGGTCTATTTGAGGAATACAGAGAAGGCCAGCTCCTCTGAGAGCAAAGAGCAGAGCGATGGGAGATGCAAATCCTAAGCAACTCTCCACAATACCCTCTTCCCTGATCACTAAGCATTTAATTATCTGCTTGATTCATGTTGAACTCTTGTCAAAACCAGGTTGGACTCAGTGCCCCAACTGACATAAACCATGTTTATCCCTCACTCGGCCCCACATGATTGTAGTAGGTTTGGTTAGGAAGGATGACGGTGAGTTGAAGGTCAAAGCTCCAGAAAATCTTTATCATTCACCGGGCTGGGTCACCTTGATGTCAGATGGTGACTCAGCAGAGAACTCAAAATAGAAGAACATCTTTTTTAATCCTTCAGATGACTTTAATGTCAAACTTCAGAGCTCTCCTAAGAGACTCATTAATACTTTAAAAGCCCTGAAGCATCAGTGTTAACTCTGGATCGGGTAACAATATATATATGTTAGCCAAAATGTGACTAAAGGGTTTGCTCTCTAATAACAAAAGCTTTGACTATTATGCAAAGACAGGGTGAAGGAAAATGATCTGTTTGTGATTGATTATGAAATAACCATGATAATCATTTTGTTTACTACATTTCCCTGAAAGGAAATTTTTCCACAGTTAAAATAATTACTAAAAATAGCAGCCTACAGGCTTCCTCTGATATAAATGAATCCAACAGAAGATATACCTAGCCTTATTTAGAAGCATGGATGTGCATACTCTAAGAAATGATATGCCAATAGTAAGAAGAAAAATAGGGAAAATGGTCAATGCAAACCTCTCCTAGGATATATGGTGTGTCTTTCTCAGTTTGTTGGACTTTAGACAAGGTAAGATGAACAGATCAAGTAATCATAATCTGCCTTGAAAACCAAAAGTGTTGAAGCAACGTTTGTTTAGTTTCCTTGGCCTAGAAGGGAAGGAGGAAGACTTGTAAGTTTGGCTGGGACTGCCTAAGAAGAAGCCAACATCTAGGGAGAAAGGGGGCAGTTCAGCTGCCTGGGTAACTCCAGGCAACAAGAGGGAAGTTCAGTTGAAAAGACTTCAAACAATAACTCCCAGCACTAACATTTCCAAGGAGTCATTTACATAACCAATAGAAGAGCTAGAAAAGAATAGACTCCAAGCCTGTTCCTCCTTTTAGAGGAATGGATAGCTGTTTACACTAGTTCATTGGTCAGAGAGCTTGTTAATGCTTAAGAGAAAAGAAAAGAGAAGGGATATAAAAAGAAGAGGTAGTGACACGAGAAGTGCCAGGTGGAGAAAAATGGTTACAGTAGGTAGATTTAAGCAGCAAGATGACAGCAGAACTTCTAAAAGAAGACTTATCTTTTTAAGTTTAAATTTAAATTAGTGCTTCAAAGTAATAAATTTATTTAGTGTTCTAAAAAACTTTAGAAACTAAAAAGAAATCAAATACAAAAATCTACTCTGACCCAATCTTACTCTAATTTAAACTTCTAGAAAATACCCTAGAAACTGAAATGCAACCAATTACAGGTAAGAACTCAAAACGAATCAGAGTACCCAAAATATATTCTGGTAAGTTTGTGCAAGTTCACTCTTAAATCTAGATGGAGGATGATGTTCTCGGGAGTGCCAGACTTTAGGTGCCCTTCCTTTCTCTGGGAGATAGAAATCGCAAGACATCAAAAGATAGACCGAGTGTCAGAGGGTTCCTTTTAGAAATGTTCCACACCAAATGCAGTGCCCAAGCAATATTTACCTATCGCATGCACTGCTTTCCACCCTCAATCTAAAGGACCAAACACTGGTCTTAGAGGCCAGAGAGGTCTTCGCTCCATCATATGGGGTTGGATGATACACACATGGCCTACTTTGCCTGTGCCTTTCATTAATCCCTTCAAGCTTAGCTGGGCTACCTTCCCAGCTAGAGGAAAGGATAACCAGGCCCTTTTCCTTGTTTTTCCAGGGAGGGAGCTTGTAGACCTGCTGAGAAATCTAATTACAACCTCCTTTCATGGTAAAATCCAATTACAACCTCTCCCATGGTGAAAGCCAATCCTTTTTGATACAAAAGGAAGCCAAATAAAGGGGCTTCAAGCAGCGGGTATGACTGTGTTCTGCTTTCTCTTAGGCAACTATGCAGAAAGGTTGCAGTGACCTTCACTTGCTTGAGTAGGAACAGTGGTCATAATCTATTACTACTCCCATTCTCATAAGAAGGAAAAATATTTTCATATCTGATGCTGGAGTTTCTGGGGATTTTCTCAAGCATCCATTAGTTGACCAAAGCAAATTTTGAGCCTCTCTCCAGACACATATTTTTGATTCAGTGATGGGGTTTTGGAGTGATGAGAGTTCAGAGCCAATGGCCAAGAAAGAATTCTTGAGACATCTTTGGTACAAAAAAAGTGATTTTATTAAAGCACAGGGACAGGACCCATGGGCAGAAAGAGCTGCACTGGGGTTGTGAGGAGTGACTGGTTATACACTGGAGTTGTGAGAGGTAAAGGCAAAAGGGAGGCCTCCAGAGGGACTTTGATATGCTAAAGAGAACTCCTAAGATACCTGAGGCCTTGCTATTGTCGAGCTGTGGTTGTTTTCCCTCTAGCAAAGCATTATCATTAAGATGGTAGGGGGTTCCTGGAGAAATGTTATACTCTGTATTTGCCTCAAGTATTTGTCAGTGGGCTGCAGGTTATGAGGAAATTTCATTTTACCTGCCATTTCCTTCTTGTTTTTGCTCCCCGAGTCACTATAGAGGGGAGGGTGATATTAAGGGCTCCAGGAAACTGAGTCTATAGGTTTCTGGAAGTTAAGCTATTGATAAGATTGCCTTTTTCTTATAATTCACTAAGATATTTGTAAACTGATAGAGACTCCTGTCCTGCATGATTGTGACCTCTATCAGTTAACCATTGGTATTCTTTCCCTTTCCTTTGTCCTTGGGCAGCCAGGAGTGCCTGAAGAATGTAGCATACATCCCACCCTGGGGGAGGGGGGAGGGGGTTGGAATTGGTGCTAGCTTGTGCTTTGCCCTCTGCTTGCCTTATGGTCCCTCATCATCAGCAAGATGACTTTTTTTTATTGAATTTGGAATATGTTAAATGAACAACAACAAAAAAGTAGTGAATTATTTAATCTAATATCCTCCTATAATCTGTTCCTGACATCTTTGACCTCCTATGCC